GTGTTTACATCCATCGCTGCCATGTTTGTAATGACTTATCATGAGAACAAACGTATTCACGTGACTTTAATAACATTTCTTACTTAATGGACAAACCGCAGTTGTGAAACTGTTTTTTCGACATTAACAGAATATCGACAAAGTTTTGCGCACATTTGTAATGGAAGTGCAGCTAGTGTGATTCCAGATTTTTTCCTCCCATTTTGGTGTCTCCTAACTAGTGGAAAACAGCCAGTCTAATGAGACACAGACGTTACACTCAGTGAATAGTCTTGTTCTTTAAATTATTGGGGTGGTTTGTATTCATACATGTTTATTTGTAGTATTGCTGTTTCATGATAACATTGATATAGCTGGCCTTGGATCACTGTGATGAAATGCATTAGCCTCTCTGTGAAGTGGAGCTACTTTGAATCAGTCGTTTTCYTCTCTGTTTCTCTTCCCTCTGTTCTTTATCCTCAGTGCTACAGTTAAGACTTCAGCAGAGGAGGACTCGAGAGCAGCTGGCAGACCAGGTCATCATGCCTCGTGAGTAACGCCGAGCTGCTACAGAACATACATTTCCTGCAGTGAATTACAATTACTGCACATAGATTTAACACCAACTTTGGCACAATTAGCTTTAATATGTGGTAGTTTATAACAGGAATCAATGGGCTGCATCCAGATCATTATCTGTCACTCACATGAAGTCAATGGAAAATCAAAAATGATGTATTCATTCTGCATCGCACATCCAAAAACTCTGCTTTCATTTTGAAATCAGTGTTTGCAGTGGTTTGTTTCTAACGGCCAGCTCTGAAGTGTTTACATTAGAACTCGTGCTAGCAGCGTCACAAGTCTCTCTTCTGGTAAGAGATCTAAGAGTCACAATCATTTCAGCCTGACACAAAAAAGCAGACTTTTTAACAAGATCTGGACTTTTATGTATTCCCTTTGTCAAAKAGGTGACAAAGCAATGAGCTGGAAAACAGATCCCAGTTTGTAAAGATTACAACATATATATA